AACTACCGAAGCTTTTAAAAAATCCAGGGCAGATATTACTTAACCAAAAATCCAAATGATCCGGAGAAAAGCTGAGGGAAAATCTAGCAGAGTGTAGGTAGGATCTGGACAAAAAAACTAGGCACATATTTAAAACTCATAAATGGCACGCCATAAGTACCCAATGCCCATGTAACAGATGCCTCCACAGGCTTTGAGAAACCTATACAAGGTAGTACATAAGGCGCGGAAAGATGACTAGCGAACGCAAAACAATATTTCTGATACTTTTCGATCGTTCTTAAAGCAGCTTTACACAAATGAAAAACATAATTTCATAATAATTATTGGCACAAAAAATCCAAATTTTTCCAAAAAAAGGCAAGTAACCGGCACAAAACAACGGATTTATCTTCAATTCTGTAGTACAGGCAACATGAACGAAACATCAAATAGACGAACATGGGAAAGCTATGTTGTCGACTCGTACATTAAAAAGTTTTACAGGTTTTTCAGCGTCAAAAAGCCCAGCACGCAGTTGTTAAGTTTCATTTTTATTCTCTTTTAACATTTTTTTTTTTTCTTGGAAGAAAAGCTGAACAAGTGTAAAAAGTACGAATAGTTTACAAAACCGGCCCTCATGCAAAAAGCTGGCTCCTGGAGATCATCCTAGGGAGACGACATGAACAAATACCACCAGCTGTTTACCCTCCTCTATCCCCTAGACCAGCCGAAGTTTTTTGCTACCACTGTTGTCGTTGACGCGTTGCATTGGACAACACGCGCTGCGTACAAACAACCGCTCTCTATCGCAGCGGCTGCAAGAACGCGTGTTTCTGAATTCCTGGCGGCTGTGTATGGTGGCTGGTTTCTTTTGGCCAGCTTGCGTAAACAATTGCTGTAGATGGCAGAGTGTCACTGGAGGAGGTCGAGAATTTGTAAATTAACGAGACGTACTGGAGGAAGATGATTGCTTGTGCTGTAGCACTCTTTTAAATAAAGTCAGAAGATCGGTGGAGCGTCGATGATAGTGTTAGACAACTTCACAGGTACAGTAGTTTACTGCTAGTATACTTTTTTCCTGTGTTCAGTTTCCATTCTGGTCTTCCCGCTTATCTATTTGTTTTTTTCTGTTTCGATAAAAGCAAATTTTGGTTTTACTACTCCAGCGCCTTTTATACTTCGGTCAGTTTTAGCGTATGCCTCACTGTGCTCTAAATTTATCAGTTATTGTTGACAGCAGAAAATTATCTTTACATTTCATCTTTACTTAGTGGGTTGAAAGCAAGAAAGACCAGCACTTTTTTAAATGAAATTTCTGTCACAGGAATTTTAAGGTTTTTTACACTATATGGTTGTCCTTCCCTTCAAGATATTTGGTCCTGATCCAGTCGCGTGTAAGCTGCATTTCTTAATACTTTTCGATCCGGCTACAAACCTTTTTCGTCACAGCAGAGCTGAGTTTATGAAATCCGTCTTTCTTTACGTGTTGTTGGTGATTTTTTTCTTTTTTTTTT